ACCTGATATGAGTGTACATAAACACTATAGGCACAGCCTTAAGCTGCTGGTAGTGTTTTGTTAGAAGTTATGCACAGGCACTGTTGACGCCCATGTGTGAGTGTGAACCATGTCAGCTGAACAGGTTGAACAGGCAAGACAATGAAAAAAGCCAGTTAATGTAGACTGTATTGAACCACTGTGGGACATGTTGTGCTCACACAGACAGAGACTTGCTGAGTAACTCTCATTCACAGGTAAACAGAAGGAGCACAGATAAGCATCTACAAGCCCAGCGGCATTCCCAGTGGCAAAACTCAAGCACTGAGCTTGTACACTATTCCCGTTCTGCAGCAGACAGATGGCGAAAACGTGACACGGTGACAAATTGTTTTCACAGCCAAGGAGAGGAGATTTTTAGCTATGACAAGTGTGCGAGTGCTGCCTCTCTCCGTGTATATAACCACCAACTGCACTTGATGCTGATTCAAAAACACAGACACTCAAATGCTGTAACTAAAAACCACAGATCTGGCTTAGCCTCCAGCAGAAAGCCTTTCAAAGGGCTCTGAAGACAAATGGCCGTGTATAATACCACTCAGGGTGCTACACAGGTTGGTAGATTAGAGGAGCACCCACTCCTCTTGATCCCCATAACAACAATTTGTTTTAGATAAGCTCAGGCTGAGGTTGTCTCCTGGTAGGTCTGAATCAAATCCAGCTCAGGTTTTAAACTGCCACTTTTGAGAAGGACTTGATCCTGATTAGTTAAGGCAGCTTTTGAGGATTGGTGTCATTGTTATCAGATCCGTCATTCACAGGAAAGAATGGTTCATAATGACAGGAGAGAGTAACTCAAATGCTGGTGATAGATGAATCCAGCAGCTGATTTATGTCAGGGAGACCGGGCAGCATTGTAACACTAGGTAAGATGTAACACCGCCAGTTTGATCATGTAAGCTTTCAGTGTGCAGTCATTTTTCTCATTTCTGTTGGAGTTAAGTTTGCCATACTAATTAGCATCAAACACAAAGTACAGCCAATAAGAATGAGTTTGCAGGAATTTGGACGTTAAAATGTGGTTGTGATTTTTGCACCAAAATCATTACAGTTCGCCCTGAGGGGGGACATCCAACAGTTGTCAAGATATTTCAATCTCAGCTACAAAAGTCAGCTTCACAGTGGTGCTAGATAAAAAGTCTGGAGATCATTAACAATCGTCATCCGGGCACTGTTGACATCTATACCAAATTTCATTAAGAGAGAAAATGTAACAGAAAAAAACTGAGAAGACAAGAGAGAAGCCACATACACAGACAAATATACAGCACTATTTCTAATAGAATAAATAGTCCCTGTGAACCCTGTTCACAGCAAGGTGTGTGTTATTTGAAATTTCTGGGAGTATCACAAACAACATTTCATCAACCTTGGTTATATCAGTCACAGAAGTCTCATAGATTATACTGCACACATAAAACCCAAACTATCTGCATGGGTGTATACCATTAGAGGAAAGTGAGATTGCATTTACTATTTGAATGAACCTACCATTTCAAAAAAAGTCAGCCAGTGTTCCGGCCAATGATCTCAGTCAGGGACTAATGCACACGCGAGAGAGAGAGTAGACAATCAACATGGCTGTAGTGGGGAAATAATTACTGACATCTCCTTTGGGAAAGTTGAGCTGAATTGTCCTCTCAGTCTAGGTGTGATGCTTCGCACTGGGTATTGTCTTGTGTCTGTTACTGCCAGCACAAACCTCTGTGTTACAGCCTGGGTGTGGGCTAATAATCCGTGGAAAACATGGGGAGGCAGCAGAAGCACAGCAGTGACATGTTCAAATACCGTTATGGTGAGCATCAGTGTTCATATTTGAAGCAGTGGTTATCATCATGTGTGCTGTGCTTGCTGCCCTTTGAAGCTAAAAAACAGCAGGTGTTTTATAGTTTTGTAGTGACATTAGAAACAAATAGGTCAAAGTTTATCTTCTTCTCTGACAGTGTGCACATGGATGACGTACACAGATTAAACTAATCAAACACTTTGATCTCTGAAGCACACAAAAAGTAGTTAATGTTTTATGTGTATGGTATGTTTGTGTGCGGTCTGAGCGAGACAGCAGGCGTTCAGGAGAAAATAAAAATGGGAACACAGCCATGAGGCTTAGAGGCTTACAGAGCTGCACTGTCCTCACGCAAAATTTAACATCTATATTAGACTGGCAGACCTTAAAGAGAGGAACTCAGTGACTGTAAATTAACCTGGTGGTTCATGTTACAGACCTCCACTGTGCAACAAATACAAGCTGAGTCATATAATCCTGACCTTTTAATTTTCTCTTTATTATAGTAGAGCTCAAATAAGTTTTTTATTTTGAAGAATTTTTAAGTCCAGACACATTTAACTCAAGAACAATGCATTATACTTTCACTACAGCATTAGATTACTGGTGTGCTTAGCTGCTTAAATCTGCACAATAATAAGGGAACACTGATTTTCATGAAACTATTAGCAGTCTTGATGACAAGCTGCCAGCACTGTTTTGTCATGGAGATCATGGTGGGACATATGGCAATCCAAGTGCCTCATATTTACATTGTTGGACTGCCATACAGCTTTGAATGCAAGGTTAGGTAATTAGTGGTTATGGTTAAGGTTAGGGTATGTCTCCAGGAAATGAATATAAGTCAATGTAATGTACCCTGAAGTGATGGAAACACAAAACGTGTGTGTGGGTGGGTGGGTGTTTGACTCACTACTGCTTCTCCACTCTCCCTTTATGGTGGGGAGATTAGATAGTTAATCCTGTAGATGCCAGGGAAAAAAACACTCCCATTGCCACAATGGATTTCACTCAGTCCACCAGAAAGAGGACAGACCTGCTGCCGATACGCATCTCAATCCTTGATGGAAGCAGGGCCCACACACAAGGCAGAGCACTTCACCAAGGACAGGATATTATATTACATATGCATGGGATGGCTACTATAAATAGCCCCACCACCATATTGATATAAAACTGTCACGTCTATTTCCAACTCGTTACTTATAATGTATAGAGTAAAAAAACTATTTTGCCCCCAGAAACCTCTAACAAAGCCAGTGTTTTATTGTTCAACCTTGAAATTCATCATTCACTTTTCATGACAGCACTTGCAATCCTGAACACTGATTGACTAATTTATTGATTAAGTCATTACAGAGGAATATACAGCCTTGTTGCCTTGTCCTGTCCTCCTGGATCACTTCTAATGGAATGAACTGTCCCCATGCTTGACTGTTAATGTAATGAATTTAGTTTTGAGTGTTATTGTGAGTACAAGAAGACCCAGGTTGAAAGACATTAAAACCTGCTCTGGCAGTGATGTTCTGTAGGTGACTCTGACCTTTGACCTTCCTAAAGGTGACAGGCAGAAAAGGTCAATATGGTATCATATCTTTACTGTGCACTATTTTACAAAAAGCTTTTTAAAAAAGGCTTGATTAACTAAGATTTTATATACAGTAGCAGCACAGTAAAGACCGAAAGCCCCATTATGTTTGGATGTGTAGCATATAAACATTAATAGCAGGCTGTCAAAGATTAAATATGAAGAATTTCCATTTTCCCAAGAAAGGTTCCCTTGATTATCCACATCCTCCTCTGTCTTCAAAAAGACCTCCCTTCCTCTATTCCCCTCTACCTCCCCTCCCTTTTACAGGAGTGTGTGAGATAGTCTCTACCACTCAGGCTCCCAATACTTTAAGCACTCACTTCGTTGTTCCAATCCTCAACCTGGGGACTGCCGCCATGTTCCTAATTTGGCCGCATCAAGCAACACACAAACATTAAATCCGGATACAAAGCAATTACAACTTCAAAATAAAATATTTCAAAGAACCAAAACTTCCAAATAAACCTGCACAACGATGCTGTTTATCATAATGGAATAAGTTAATATCAAAATCAACATGCACAATATATTAACCCCTAATCTACCTATTGTTAATGCAATGAAAATAAGCAAATGTTGTTAATGCATACATTTTAATGTAATCTATAATGTACAAGAACATTGTCTGAATAAAAGATAAAGTGAACAAAAATATGATTTAAATTCAAACCTGATGCAATATTAAGCAATTAAACAAAAGTATAAACCTAATAACTAGTGCTATTTACTGTAATGCTTACGTGTCAATGCATTAATAATAATTATTCAGTACTATAAGAATGTAACACTGAAGACCATTCTGCACAGTGACTGACTTAATTTTAAGTATATTTTATGAGCAATTGTTTTGTACTTTTACTTAAGGACACTTCTGAATACAATTGTAATGCAACGTATTCATAGTAATTTATTGCTACTTTTGCATATATAAATAACCTTAATTTATTTCAACACTGCAAAAAGCAATATAAAGAAAATTAGACTGATTATATATAATATTTTGTATAATATGACTACTATTATGGGTGGCTGAATGAAAACGTATTTTTTTCTAAATTTTTCTCTTCTAGGTTTTTTCATTTCCTCCCCTCTGCTGTAAAAACACATTAATGCAGTAATTTTTAAGTGTTAGATCAGTCAGTCATTAAAAAAGAGTAGCCTGAGTAACCCCAGGGATAGGGGTGACTTTTACATGTTCTGATTTTCTCTTACAGTGTTCTCTGACTGTCCAGCTCAGCTGTTTATCTGGTGTAAAACAAAACTAACTGAACGATATGTTTTTATGTAATTAAAAACTTTCCAGCAGAGCTTAAAAAGTGCAGTATTTATCTCCATAACACAGTGGGGTATTAAAATAAAGTATCATACTGGAAATACATATGTGAAGTACTGGAAGCCTACATCAAAATTGTACTGATATAGTGTTTTAGCTATGTGTGTAAATGTATTTAGTCTACATTTTACTACCGCCTGTATATAAATGTTGAAAAAATGTTTGTCTATACAGAAATTGTGCACTTACAGTAAATATGTTTTATTTTGAAAAATTTAACCGGAAGTCCTGCGGCTTGTTCCGTACCCAGCTTGCCATTAGTTCAGAGTCGGGATGACAGCTGAACGGTCGTAAAGGTATAGCAACGCAGTCTGTAACAACAACCTTAATAAAGTCCCGTTTTACAAAGCACGACCGACAGATTTAACCGTGTGAGGCGTTTTTGTACCAACCGACCGACGTGTTTGTTGACGGTAACCGTTACGTTTGTTTTTTCGTATTTACACCAAGAAAGAAAAAGATCCGTATCCGGATGTACCAGCGGCGTTGGGTTTTTCGTATGGCGTAGGAACATTTTTAAAGCAGGACATTCTTGATGTTTGGAGGATCAAACAAGGCCCTCGGGTCGACAGCTTATTCGACTAACATTACATATAATTTAAAATCGACCAATTTTTGGTGGAGAATGATCGTCGAAATGGTTGTGCAATAGAGAGGAAGAAGCGTTGTAGCACGTCTCGACTACCTCAGTGTTGAGACTGTGGAGAGACAGCGAGTCACCTGGGATAAGTTGTGTTTTTGTTTCCTGCTCTAAACCTCCACGACGTGTTTTTCAGAGCCCGTGAGAGCTATTACAGGGGAGGCGAAAAGAAGTCATTGTCTTGTGTTTGTCTGTGTGTGTGCGCGTTTAAACCCCTCTGAACATCCGGAAAACCTTTACGATGACGGGCAGCAACACCCCAGCGGACATGGTAAGAGAGCTTTACCATTTACATTTCCACTTATCGTCATAGGGATATGGCCAGAAAGTGTATTAGAGCAGCATTTGAGAGTGTTCTTTAAGGCTCATAGTTCAGATTTCATTAGTTACATCTTCTACCTAGTGTGATATAAGCCCAGTAACTTCCTGGTGTTTCTCAAAGTTGGGTTTGTAAATCTTCAGGGGAAGAAAACTCTGGTGTAATTTAATTTGTATGATCGTGATGAGTGTGTTTTTCAAGTGCAACTCTTAATTTTAATGACTGTTTTTAAATATCTGTAAATAGTTATGTTTTTCCTTCAGTTCCAAGTAGTAATTGGCTTCCACTGATTTCAGATTTTAAAACTTTGAATTGCTTCATGATGATAATTTGATAATAATGAATGCAGATCAGATGTTTGTTTGAGATTAACATTATTGATTAGTCAACAATTAGTCAGTTTCTTTTTTTAATAGTCTGATTAATTGATTTGTTGCAGCACTGCAAAGTTAATGAAGTTAAGACACTATTGATTTTCTTAATGTATGCAAATCAGTGGAAGCCAATAGACAAAATACATGGTTTGCAAAATGTTTACCTGCCATGGTGTTTTGTGTGCGTGTGCGTGTGTGTGTGTGTGTGTGTAAGCAGTAAGACCACAACAGATAAATATAACTTTTGTTGAGTTAGATACTGTATGTTTGGATTGGAATTAGACTGTTATTCTCACTTTGAGCATGCTGGCCCCTCATCCCAAACTAGCACACCTCTCCGACCTGTCTGTCCAGCACAAGGATCTTTACGATAACTGTTGTCTTAGGTTGATTTGACACTTTATGAACCTCCAGCATCACAGAAAGTGAGACTGCAAAGAGCTTGGGGTTTAGGACTAGATGTTCTTCTGTTGATTGTAAAACCCTGTTGTCCCCAGCTGTACTATTTACAGTATGTAGTATATGTTATAAAGGAAACTAAACTTTGACCTTTAGTTTGTCATCACTGTCAGGTGACATTATCCTTATCACATCTTGTTTACATATTTTACACTAGCTTACTGACTGAGGTGAGTATTATGAACCTGCATTTTGCAGACTTGCAGTCTCATGGCTAAGCTATTCCACAAATTAATATAAAATGTATTTAGTTGGGTTTGCCCAGACGTGGGTATATTTCCCCTCTGCCTGGCCATTTTATGCCTGTCATCTTTGCTGCTAGTGCGTGGTGGCTCTAAGAATAACTCCTGGTCTATCTATAGAAAGGATAAACCACATAATGTCCTCCTTAGATATCCCAGCTGCGCCTGTCGTACTGCCCCGGCCGAGTTCAGCTGATCCCCTAAACAACAGGTCTAATGTTTTGTGAGGATGCGGGGATAATTTTGGTGGGATGTTAGAAATGAGCTGGGCTATTTGTTTTTGTGGTCCAGTTAAAGATGTCAAGTATACCACATCTCAAGGAATGTCCATGGATTGTGGGTATAATCATTTTCTGACCTATTATGAGTGGTAGTGGAATCCTCCTGAATCTGAAAGAATGTTTATAGGACTTGTGTTTTGTTGCTATCTATGTGACTGTTTGAGGCTTCAAATTAACTTCATTGTTTTTGAATCACTTTGCAGTTGTGTTGACCAATCATGTATTTTTGAATCTGGTTACAAGTTTGCAAAATATTGAGGCTTGTTGAGCTCTGCAGCCAACAAATTCTTTATCAAACCTTTCATTCTTAATCTCTGTTTAGTCTCTTTTGCCCCTTTCTCTGACACCACAGTCATTGGCATAAAAATGGGAGATGACATATACAAAGGTGTGATAACTAGGTGACAGCATACTATGTGCAGGAAAGTACACAGGATAAAGGGAGTAACAAGTTCTCTGCTTAAATATTAGGTGTGTAATTGTTCTGAAACCACAATGAACATCCACTGTCTTGTGTCACAACTGTGGAAGATGGGGCTGTGACTGAACCGTGGGGATTAAGCAGTGAGAAGAGTTCCCTGTTGGGTAATATGCATTCAGAACATCAACAATTTTTATAATTGGTAGACAGCGTATGGCATGGCCTGTGTACCTGCAGAATTTGTTGTTTTTTTTTTTTGTTTTTTTTTACTTTTATACTTCTACAAGTTTTACGGCTCCTGCGGCTGCAGCGCAGCCCCCCAGTGAGGAGCAAAATGAGTGAGGTCAGGGTTAATGAATGTCCCAGGGTAGTGACAGAATATGTGGTGAATGCCCGACAACCCTTCAGCTCAGTAGTTACACCACGGTTTAGGTTTAATAGTTAATTATCCTCAATGTTTCCCCTAGAAAATATTACAGGCACAGTGGCAAGAGGATGATAGAGATTTTGTGTGCACATGATAAAATTGATTTAATGTAAAGGTATGTGACCCTAATGTAAAGGTCACATAAAACAAGGAGAGTGTTAATATTTATTGCACACAAATAACTGTCAAAGCCACAAATTACTTCACAATCAAAGACGTTAGAACAAATAATCTATAAAAAAAAATAAAGATACAGATAAAAAGAAAAAAAATCCACATAATAAAGTATATCAAATAATAAACTCTCAAGTTGGTGCAAGCTGCAGTTTGAACTGCTCAGCAATGTGAAACAAACTGCTCATTTTCCCATCATGAGCACAGTGTGCATGACTCATTGCTCCACTTGGCATTGAAAACAAATTTGACCATGGCATCGATGTATGAAAATTCGCCCAAAGCTCTGGGTCCCAGCCAGATGTTCTGTTTGCTTCTATCTGCTGGTTCACCCGCAGCCTGCGTTTGACCCATAGCCTGTATACCTGTGTCACCGATGCTTATGCTAATGCCGGAGCCCTCGCCACCCCTCCTTCTGCCCCTCTCACCTCTCTCCCTTACTCTACCACTTCTCGACCTCTCCTCTCTTCCTTGTTAATATGTTAGGCTGAGCATCCCCTGGTTTCCTCTTAGGTGGTGCCATGCTCACGTTAGAGTTAATAGCAGTCAAATAACTTGGGTTTAACTAAGCTTAGTTGCTTTATGAGAAATCATCTTGCATTTAATCAAACCATTACTACACAGGGTCGCTCTGTGATGATTACTTACTGACCACTTACGCAATTTTAAACTATTATGACACTGATTATTGACACATCGTAACGTTGGTGTAATCTATTGAAAGTGCAGACAAGAGACAAATGCCATGACATTGCGGGTCCATGAGAAAATCTTAAATATCACAAACTTACTGTAAATTGGAGAAGCCTGGGTAAAGAATCAGCAAAGATAATGAGTCGTTTCCATAAATCTTGGTGTACGTATGAAATCCATAAAAAGCGGTATTCTCAGGTTGCACTTGTTCATGTTTTTCATGTGTTCCCGAGTTTGTTTGTTTTTCTTACCAGAGCTACCAGAAGTGTATCAAATTGTAGCAGGAAGGGGAGCATGGTGAGAGGCACCTGAAACCGATGTGTTCCTCCCCCACCTAACAAACTACTTTGATAATAGGTTTGAAAGGATTCAATGAGTCCCTTTAGAACTGTATTGGGTTTCCTGTCCTTATTGTTGACTGTAATGTGCCTTTTAATAGTGTTTTTTTTTTTTTTGGTGTATTTGACCTGTAGTGTAAGATTATGATTCAGCCAGAGGATCTGGTTGTGTTTTCTCTAGCAACACCGAGTCACTATCAGCTGTTTCATAGCTGTGTCTGATATCTGCTCTAAGAATTTCCCTGGTGGGGAAGTATCACGTTATTATTGCATCATTTTTTGGTAGTGTTGGCCATAAAGTTACTTTTACCAGCAGTAAAATAATTTTTTTCCACCACCAACTCTCAAACATTGTTTTAAATGGGTTTTGTTCACACTAGAGTTGCTGTTTTCGGGCTCATGATATTAACATGTCTAGAAAAAACATAAAGGTGACATTCTGCACAGAAGTGAGCCGGTTCAGGATTGCCACCAGCATAAATCTTTGGAACAACTGATTTCTTCTGCGGCTTAACTCAGTATACACATCAAATTAGCTCCTTGTGTTCTCAAAGTAAATTTGGGAAATATCCACTATCTGCATTTAACTCACCCTGTCTTTTCCCCATCTTCCCCCCAAACTTTCTCTGCCTGTGCAAGGAGAACGTCTATGAACACACTCTTATACAGGCTGTATAGAGTGGGAGTGAGAGTAGGAGGAGAGGAGATTGCTGGTGCCAAGCATTGTGGGTGAATGAATCTGAGAGAAAGAAAAGGAGAAGGAAAAGTCATGCCTCTCGAGAATAGAGGATGGGATTTTTATCTAAAGGAGAAAAAGAGGAGGGGGCCAAATTACCTTGCTCCAGTCAGACATTAGAAGCGCTGACAAGGTTGAAATGGCACCTTTAGAAACAACAGGACGCTTGGATCTGAGGTCAGGGTGCCTGCGTGAGTATGTGGAGGGACTGGGTTGGGGTGCACTGCAGGTTTGTGTTTGTAACAATGAGAAAACGAGTAGAAACGACTGAAACAGAAGTAGAATTAATTGCAGTTTAGGTAAGGGCAGCACAGCACAAGAGCTCCTGTGCAGCAGAGTGAATTTTAAACACAGCTGCTTCCAGTATGTCCCAGTACAGGCAAGGAGTCCCAACTACACACACACACACACACACACACACACACACACACACACACACACACACACACACACACACACAGAAGTACCTGACAGTCCAATTTTCTGATAAGGGTGTTGTTGTCGTAATTATTGCCTTTATTAATGTATAATAAAGTATTTACAAGATTGACTAAACCTCGCAGTATATTTCAAAGGTTCAAGGTTCAAAGTGTTTATTTGTCATATGCACAGTTAGGAAACGTGTTTCCCTGTACAATGAAATTCTTACTTTGCCATTTACATGAATGAATGCCACACAATACAAGTGAAATATATATTTGTTATATTGCTGGTGCTAGTGCTAGCTTTTAGGCACCGTCCTCTCTGGCTTAGGTTTGGAAAAGGTTTGTTGTGTATTCCATTTTCATTGGTACTAGAAGTTAAGTG